GGTTATTGTTTCATTATTGGATTCTAAGAGTTTTTTTTTTAAGTATGTCTTGGGCATAAGCCCCTTATCAGATATATGATTTGCACATATTTTCTCCATTCCCTGGGCTGTTTTTATCACTTTTTTTTTTTGGCAGTACTGGGGCTTGAACTCAGGGCCTCATGCTTGCTAGGCAGGCATTCCACCACTTGAACCACTCCACCAGCCCTTTTTTGTGTTGGGTATTTTTGAGATAGGGTCTCAAACTATTTTGTCTGGACTGGCTCTGAACCTCAATCCTCCTTATCTCTTGCCTCCTAAATATTAGGATTATAGGTGTGAGCCCTATTTTTTTTTTCACTTTTGTTGGCTGGTGTCCTTTGAAGTATATATATTTTATGAAGGGTATTTTTTTTTTTTTTTGGTGGTACTGGGGTTTCAACCCAGGACCTCATGTTTGTTAAGCAGGCACTCTACCACTTGAGCCATACCTCCAGCCACAAAGGTTTTTAATTTTGTTGAAATTTCGCTTTATTTTGTCTGTTGTTCCTTGTGATTTTGGTGTCACATGGAAGAAACTATTTCCTAAATCAAGATCACAAAGATTGACTCTTATGTTTTTGTCTAAGAGATTTAGTTTTAGCTCTTAAATTTATGCTTATGATTTATCTAATGTATTACTGAATATTTCTATGATTCAAGATTTTTTCTGTCATAGAAGTGGAATTACAAAGTTGCCACCAAGTTAAGAAGTGTAATTATAAAAAATCGCACGTTTTGGGGACTTTTGATATTGTGACTCTGTTTTCCTTCCTCCCTCCTTTTCTTTTTCTGAGATAGTCTCTCTATGTAGCCTAGGCTAGCTTCCAACTTAGAATCCTCTTGCCTTAGCCTCCCAAGAGCTGAGATTACAGGTGTGTACCATAGTGCCTGGCTGTAACTCTGTGTTCTCCCTGTCATTTCCTTCCTCTTTCCTACCTGTCTCCCCGCTGCCCTTGTTCAGGCCTTTACCATATCCTGTCACACCTTCTATCTGTTTCTAATGAACACTGTCAATGCAGTACGATAATGGAAGTGACAGTGTTGGTGGGTCCTGTGACTGTACAGAGGAGACCTAACCTAGTCTCATGACTGGGAGTGGTGAGAAGGGGTTGAGGTCATCACGGAGGGCTTCTGTGGGTAGAATGTGCATTAACAAAGCATAAACATGGAGTGCCAGCATCCTGGGCTGGGGAATAGAGAGCAGGTGCAAGGTCAGAGGTAGCAACAGTGTAGCATGGTGGTCCAGAGAGTGGATGGTGGCTGTGCCACTTCCTGGCTGTGTGTTCTTGTGGGGAAAAGAACTTAACCTCTCTGAGTTAAGATGTAAATGGGGGCTAGTAATAGTCGCTAGTATCTAGAATGGTTGCAGGACCAAATGAGGCAGTATATGTTGAGGTTCTAGCTAGTGGCCAGTTCCTGAGGAGGAGCAGGTGGATGGATGGAGGCTGCTTTGTGTTACAGGTTTGGAGCTAAGGCAGTTTGCTCAAGGACAGGGGACACCTAGGGTAATGGATACAAGTTGATCTTTAGAGTTGAGCCATCTGGGTTTAGATTTTGGCTTCACTCCTTATTAGTTGTATAGCCCTGAGCATGTAATTTACTGTCTCTGTGTCCCAGTTTTTCATTTGTAAGAAGAGGATGATAATATGTTCCTTTTTCATATGGTTGTTCTGAAGATTAAATAAATTGATAAGTAAAGTACTTAGAATAGCCCCTGACACATAATACTCTGTGTTAGCTCTTTTTATTGAGAGAGGTTTGTGATGGGTTAGGCATAAGGTGTTCACAGTTGTACTTGTTTGCCTATGCAGGGTCATGGTAGAGTGGGAGACTGAGCCAGGGGCCAAAGTCTTCAGTACCTACAGGGTAGTTGTCAAAGGTCTTAAGAGTCAGAAGCAGGAAGGGGGAGGGGTGATATGGCTAGTGGATTGAGCAAGAGAGGAGCAGCGTTTTGTACAAGGGTAGAGGAGTCATGGTCCGAATGTGACAATAAATAATAACTGCCATAGCAATTAGTTTTATTACTCTGGAAAGGGCAATGGGGAACAAGAATGCCAGCTCTTTCTCTTTGGAGCCATCCTTTACTTTGCCAACATGTGTTCATTCATTCAGCACATAATTACTAAATTCCTGTATAGGCCAGCCACAGTGCTGGCCACTAGGGATGCGGCAGTAAACCTGATAGACCCAGTTTCCTGCCTTCCTGGAAACTCTGGGTTAAGGGGAGAGAGACAGACATTAAACAAATACTTGTGTAAGTCAGTGTTCAATACAGATTGGGCCATGCTACTTCCCCATTTCAGAATCTTCATTCACTCTTCATTGCTGTGGAATGAAACCCAGACTCCTAAGCAGGATCAGGCTCCAGTCCCACTCTTAGCACCTCTTCTGTTCACTGTTCTTTCTCCCCCAGGGTTCCAGCCTCCTAGGACTGCTTGATGTGCAGTCCTAGGAGGACTATAGACTATAACACCCAGCCCCCCCTGCCTCCACCTAGCATGCTTCTACTGGACTTTTGAGGCCCCTATAGCAATGATGTCTTCCTTTGGGAGACCTTTCTTGGCATTGTCACTCTCCCAGCCATGTTTTTAGGGCACCTTGGATTTTCTGGGATTGTGGTACTTCATGTATAGAATCAGAAGGGGCAAACAGGTTATGACAGGGCTATGAGTTAGGAGGCAGTGTGAGGAGAGCATGGCACTGAGAGAAGCATGTGCAAGGGGAGTGGGAGATGCCCGCGGGTAGGAAAAGCACTTTGGATCTAGGAATACCTCTGTGGCCTGGGTGGAGAGTGGAGGGACCAGTTCCTCCCCTTTGCTCTGGGAGTGGCAGAATGTCCAAGGCGCCAGTTTCTTTCTGAAGATGCATATCTGCCAAGAGTGCCAGTAGAACCTGGATGGGAACAAACGGAAATTAAAGATCCCAGTGTGGGAAAAAGGGCAGTTCAGAAGACCAGCAGGCCAAAAAAGGTAGTGAGAACATTTGGAGCAACCTGAGATAGATCAGGGCCTGAGGCCAGCATCAGTGGAGGCTGGGAGAGCTGGCAGGTATCAGCAGGGGATGGAGGCCCTGGCAGCTTCTGCTCCAGGCTGAGTTGTAACCGCCCTAGGAGCCTCTCCGGTGCGGACAGTTAATCTCTGAAGGCCAGAGTCACCACTACTAGAGAGCAGGAACATTGAACTTTTCAATCACATTAATTTCCACAGGAAATTGTTGTCTTCCTTTTGTTCAGAGGTTAGTGATTTATATTTACCATCCTCTTAACTAGCCTTGAAATTTACTATTGCTAGGTCATCACCAGCATCCATAAATTTCAAGGTGGCAGCTGAGCATAGCCAAGTGGTCCTTGGAAGGGTACATCCCAGTCCTTTTGGGAGGGCAGCTGTCTAGCTACAGACAGTACTCCTGAGGGGGTGTCATTCACAGGGGAAATGAGAAGGAGGTCTGTTGGACAAGGCTACAGGGAGGCCTCTGTAGTAGCAGCCATGACAGAGGCAGCTGGCTTGTGCCTCTCAACACATCATCATCAGAGATGTGTTTCTAGCTGTAGCACAAAAAATGCTCAAGGATCTTCAGATTGGAGAAGGGCTACATTCCTACCTCTGAGCTTCCTATGGTCCTGTGTGACTATAGGCAGATCCCTTATTCTACGTCAGTTTTCCTTATCTGCCTGGTAGTTTTGTTATGAGGGTTAAACCTCAATAAACATAGGCTGTGTTGTTCTCTGGCAGGATGGGGTAGGTTTGGTATGGGCCAAAGAAAGTGTGCCTCATGTTCCTGATGCACTGTCTAATCCAGCTCTCCTGTTAAGACCTCCTCTCTGCTCATGCATACTCTCTATAAAGAGCCCGTAATATTTTAGGCTGTGTGAGCCATATGGTCTCTTTTGTAGCTACTCAGCACTGCTATTTTAGTCTGAAAGTAGTCATAGATAATGGCTATAAAACTTTTCTTTTTATGGTGCTGAGGATTGAAACCTGTGACTTCATTCATGCTAGGTAAGCACTCTACCACTGAGCTATACCTCATCCCTCCAATAAAACTTTGTGGACACACAAGTTTAAATTTCATATAATTTTCATGCATCACAGAAATATTTTTATTGGTTTATTTTTGAGTCAGGGTCTCTATGTAGTTCAGGCTGGACTCAAACTTCCTATCTTCCTGCCTCAGCTTCCCAAACTCTGGGATTACATTGTGTGCTACCATACTTTATTTTATTTTTTAGCTCATTTAAAAATGTAAAATCCAGGGTGCTTGCCTCACATGCATGAGGCCCTGGGTTTCAATCCCTAGCACTGCAAAAAAAAAAAAAAAAGGAAAAGCCATTTTACCATTTTAGCTCATATACCATACAGAAACATGAAGTGGCCTCATCAGCCCATGGGTTATGGTTTGCTGACCCCTGGACTCGAAAGTGAAGTTGCCTGGAGAAGGTATACTCTTCTGGGCTATCTTTGAATTTCTTTGTTTCCTTTTTTTTTCCAAATAAATTACAAATACTTTATTGAAGAACTTCCCAAATGGTTTAATCTTCTTCATGCGTCAGGGATTATCCATTCACAGAGTAGGCCACTATTTCATATCTTAAATTCCAGGGCTCTCATGTACTCCTTGTGGACCTCAATCAGATGTTCACAGTGCTCTTCTCCTTCTTCAATGATGTACACATTACGTGCTGTCTTGGTATTTGGGCAGGTGCAGCAGGGCTTCAGTGGCTTCTTCTCCTGAGACTCAGACCTATCTTTGAATTCTAAAGAAAAGTGCCCTCGTGTAGTTTTACCAGTGATACCACAGTGCCTCCTGGAGGTCCACAGAAAGGCATTTGGGGCACAAGCACAGGGCAGAAACCACTGGGAGCCTGGAGCCAGGGGCTGGCACCTGTTGGTTCCCTGCCTGCAGCCACAGTACTGCTGGCCCTAAATTGGCCAGAATCCTCATCCTTCCTCTGGTGTTAACAGTCCATATCTGTGTTTCAGAGAACAGCCCCAGCCCAGAAGGGAAGGAGGCGGGGATTCGACATCCAGTAGTGATTCTCTTAGGCTGGGGTGGCTGCAGGGATAAGAACCTTGCCAAGTACAGCGCCATCTACCACAAAAGGGTGAGTACTGCAGGATGTGCAAACCAGCTGTGGTGGTGGTGGTGGTTGGTGGTGGTGGTGGTGGTGGTGGTGGTGGTGGAGCTGCCACCTGTGGGGTTCTCTGTGGCTGTTCTGTGGGGAACTCTGAGCCTCTGGCTTTCTCATCTCTAGGCTGCAGTGAAGGCTGACCACCTATGTGTTAGACCTAGGAATGCTACCAAGAACAGCCCATGAGGAAGGAAGATGTTCTGGGGACTTTGGCAGGATTATCCCCTCTTTGCTGCCAGCTTTGTGTCTTAGTATGGTCCCTTCAGTCCCCTGATCTGCTTCCTTTTTACTTCCCCAAATCCCCCAGTGAGCAGCCTTGATATGCACCCAGTTGTGGAGTATGCTCAGGCCTCAGGTCCATTCGGCTGGATGATCCCTCTCTGGCTGACTGGAGCCAGGGCTGGGTGTGCTGAACATAGTTTGCATTCCTAAGACTTTCTCCTTTTCCCACCAGGTGAGTTTCTTAGGACTGACCATGGCATCTTTCACATACCCAGAGTCGCAGGGACCTCTTGGGGAAGAGTCTTGCTTCTTCTTAGGCTGTTCCAAGAGTTGGAGGTAGAGGTTATGGTAACTGTAGAGAGCCCCAGAAGGGCCTGATTATATTTTGGAAGCCCCTTTTTATGTCTTTGGTCTCTGGCTCTGAGCTGCTCTCCTTAGGCCAGTGCTCCCCAAAGCAGTCTTCAGTAGGTGTACCAGTATAGACAGTCCCAGCTGCCAGCTGAAAGTCCCAGGCTGAGGAGGGTGGGTCACCTAGGAGAAAGGCCAATTGATACCTCCTTTCTCAGCCTTCCTCCACTGGCCCATGTCTGCACCCTGCCCAAGGAGTGTGGAGGCCCTGGAGTTGGAGAGGGATTGGGGTGAAATGTAGTTTTGAGTTTGAAGCCTCCCCTCAGCTGAGGCTGACCGTCTCATATTTCCTTTTGCTGATTGCCTCATGCCACGGTTGTTTTAGCTCCTGAATTCCATGCACTAGCTAGACTTGTTCATCTGGCTTTTTCATTAGATTAAGATCCTTGAGGGTCAGCAAAGGAATAGTAATAGTTGAAAGTGTGTAGAACAGAATCTGAAAGAAAGAACAAGTGTCTAGAGGTGAAGCTTGGTAGTGGTACTCAGGAGATTCAAACAGGAGTGTTATGTTTAGATTTGACATTCAGAAAGCCCCTTAATGTAGAGTCAGGGAAGGATTGGAGATGCTGGGACCAGAAGACAGAAGTGAGTTTGGAGGGGATTGTGGTGATCCAGGGCAGAGGGTGGTAAGAACCTTGGTGCTGGTGGTACAGGTGGAAGAAAGCTGGTGAACTGAGGAGGTTGTCAGGAAGTAGAGTGGAAGACTGATGAGAGATTTGGAGTGAACACAAGGGTAAGGACAGGTCCCACTTACTGCTGGTGCACTTTCTGAGTGAGGGAGAGTGTTTCTGAAATAGGAACACTAGAAGAGAATCCACAGGTTCTAGGGTAGATGGAGAGCCCCAAGGAGTGTGGAGAGGGAAAGAAAGTGGTCTGGGACAGCCCCGAGGAACCCAGATTTAAAGAAGTAGAAGATGAAGGAAAGGAGGAGTGGCCATGGATGGACAAGAAAACCTAGGAGAGTGTGACAGAATCCACAGAGTTTTTGGAAAGTGGTCATGGTAGGGAAGAAATAGGACATTTTGTGGGCAGAACATATGAAGGCAAGATGCCAGGGAAGGCAGAGGGACTGAGGGTGCAAGGATTTTGGGGAGGCTGCCTTTACATACTGGTAGGAAGGAAAAAATGAGTACAGAGAAAAAAAATATCTAAAACTTAAATATTTCATTATTTAAAAGAAAAACACCATATTCTTCCATCTAGAGATTACCTCTCCTTACACCTTAAGGTGTAGCCTTTTGGGCTTTTTCTGTGTGTATCCTCTCTCTGCGTAAATGCAACCAAGTGAGTGTACTAGTTGTAGTCTGCTTTGTTTAAGTCATGATCTCTACCTTCTCATATTAGTACATTTTCATCACATCTAGTTTCCAGTCCATTTTCAGATGCCTGAATTGCCCCAAAGTGTCCTTTACAGCTGATTTGGCCAAACCAGGTCTAGTGCAGGATCACACATTGCAAGTAGTTCTTTTGCTCCTTAAGCTTCTGTATTGAGAATAAGCCCCTTGTCTCATGATTTAAAAAAGTTCCTTAGAATTAAAAAAAAGTTCCTTTTCGCAACTTACTGATGAGACTGGGCTGTAAGGGAATATTTCTAGGAGTATGTAATCCCATGTTGCCAGGGGAAAATTACAATGGAGCCTGAAAGGCTTGTCAGACTTGACCATTTGGGAGTGTGGGTGGCCTTAAGTGACCTCCTTCAGAGTTGCAGGAGCCTCTAGGGCTGGCAGGCTTATGACCTCGGCTGACTATCCCTGTTGGCTGTAAGTCGTTGAAGAACCATGTCCCCATAATTCTCTCCTTGTTATTACTGCCATCTCTGATCACAACTCTTATTAGTAGAGAGTTTACTTCATACTAGGTGCTGTTTTGGTCACTTGAGATTTTTTTTTTCAGTACTGGGGTTTAAAGTCAGAGCCTTGTAATTGCTAGGCAGGCACTGTCTACCATTTGAGCCATGCCCCCAGCCATTTTTTGTTTTAGTTATTTTTCAGATAGGTCTGGCATTTTTGCCCTAGGACCAGCCTCAAACTGAGATCCTTTTTCATATAACTCCCATGCAGCTGGGATGATAACATGGGGTCTTGCTAACTTTTTGCCCAGGCTGGCCTAAAATATGGATTCTCCCAGTTTTCACTTCCTAAGGATCTGGGATTATAGGCATAAACTGCCACGCCCAGCCTGTTTTGTTTTTTTAAGACAGGGTCCTGGGTCTGGGGTTGCGGCTCAAGTGGTACCTTCTAGGCTAGTTAGAAAAGCAGCCAAAAACACCCTTCCTGGGTCCTAATCCTCTCTCATTAACCTATTCTGGAGACAAAGTGCCCTTCATCAGAGGATCTGAGTTTGAGGAACAATTCTATTTACTGTGTTTGGAGTTTCAGGGTAAGTGAAAGTAGGTTGGAAACCAGATTCCCTGAATCCAGACAGTATGGATTCTGCCTTCAGGGCCCTGACTGGGAAGGTGACAGTGACCAAAGATGGAGGTGATATATATACTTGACTCAGAAGTGGCCTCTGGTGGTCAAGGTTGGGGCCTACAGGTTCTCTTTCAGGTGGTGTTCTTATGGGAGGTAGGGACAGTGCAGAGCTGAGTAGACGCAACAGGATGTAGCCAAGCAGCAAGGCCTTAAATGTGAAGGGTGGGGTGGGGATGGGGTGTGGGGAGGACAGACAGGGAGAGAACCAGAGTGAAGAGACTTTCTTCTGGTCAGTCCACATGTCTCCAAAACATGTTCCAGACTTCAAATATCATCTAGGCTGAGGGAGCATGGTGAGCATGACACAGTGATTCCAAATGGGCCACTCCCCGGCAGCACCATATCCGTGAATAGTGAGCTGGCACCCTGGCCAAAATAGGGCTTTTGGAAATGGGGTTGCCGGATCCCTCTGATTTAGCTTGTGCCCACCAACCCTGTTGCATCCCTGGGGACTGACAAGGTATCTCTCCTCTTCCCCAGGGCTGCATTGTGATCCGATACACGGCCCCATGGCACATGGTCTTCTTCTCTGAGTCCCTGGGCATCCCTTCACTTCGTGTGTTGGCCCAGAAGCTGCTTGAGCTGCTCTTTGATTATGAGATTGAGAGGGAGCCACTGCTCTTCCATGTCTTCAGCAATGCTGGCGTCATGCTGTACCGCTACGTGCTTGAGCTCCTGCAGACCCATCAGCGCTTCTGCCACCTTCGGGTGGTAGGCACCATCTTTGACAGTGGTCCTGGTGATAACAACCTGGTAGGGGCCCTGCGGGCCCTGGCGGTCATCCTGGAGCACCGGCCTACCGTGTTGCGCTTGTTGGTCCTGGTGGCCTTTGCCCTGGTGGCAGTCCTGTTCCACATCTTACTTGCTCCACTAACTTCCCTCTTCCATACCCACTTCTATGACATGTTACAGAGCTCGGGCTCCCACTGGCCTGAGCTCTACCTCTACTCAAGGGCTGATGAGGTAGTCCTGGCCAGGGACGTGGAACGCATGGTGGAAGCACGCCTGGCCCACCAGGTCCTGGTGCGCTCTGTGGACTTTGTGTCATCTGCACATGTCAGCCATCTCCGCGACTACCCGATTTACTATACGAGCCTTTGTGTTGACTTCATGCACAACTGTGTCCAGTGCTGAGGGCCTGCTCCAAAAATAAAAGCCTGAGACCTCCTCATAATGCAAAGATTGTCCCTGGGGGACTTCTGGCAGGCTGCTTACCCCAGGATCCTAGGGGGTGAGAGTGTCTGGGCAGGTTTCTGTGGGAGCCTTGAAGTTGTTTGTTTGGACAGGCTGCATTTAGGCTATAAAGGGTTAACAAATTTTGGGATAGGGGTTTGAAGATGAACCCTAGAGTTTATTTTTTAAAAGTGTAGTAAGAACCCTTAATATGGGATCTGTTTTCTTAAAATTCTGAGTATATAGTTAATATCTGTTAACTATAGGTGCAGTGTTGTATAGCACATCTCTAGAGTTTGAGTATCTTGCATAATCTACAACTTAATCATCTTGCATAACTGAAACTTTCTTTTATCAGAGTTTTTTTATTTTCTTTTTTTTGTTGTTGTTGAGACCAGTTCTTGCTATGTAGCCCAGGCTGGCTTCGAATTCTTGATTCTCCTGCCTTAGAGTTCCAAGTACTGGGATTATAGGCATGCACCATCACACATGGCAATGAAGTTTGATTTTTTTTTTTTCAGTACTGGGGCTTGAACTCAGGATCTTCACCTTGAGCCACTCCACCAGCCCAATTTTTTGTGATAGGGTTTTTCGAGATAGAGTCTTGCATACTATTTGCCTGGGCTGGCTTTTAACTGTGATCCTCTTGATCTGTGCCTCCCAAGTAGCTAGGATTACAAGTGTGAGCCACTAGCACCTGGCCTAATTTTTTGATTTCTTGAATGGAAGGCGAGCTTTGTGGGCAGGTGCCAGAGAGTAGGGTCAGGCTGCTCTGTTCCAGAAGAGCAAATTCATACAACAAAAAGCATTGTCCTCCTTGGCCAGGAGTCTGAGGTAGATGCCAGATGAGGAGCTGAGGATGCAGGGGTTTGAGGCCTGCCTGGCTCCACCATACTTTGTTAGGAAGCCACTGGATCTGGGAAAGTGGCAAGCTGTGTATGGTAAAGGAAAGATGGAGTAGGGAAAAGGGAGGCAGCAGTGTTACAGTGGGAACTGGGAGGAGTTAACTTGTGTCTTGAAGACCAGAACCATGGTAAGGGGATTTGGGACTGAAATAACAAGCACCTTCATCTCCTTGAAGGAATATCCACTTGATAGTCTCCATACAGGAGAGGTGGCTTCAGCCTTACAGTTCTGTACCATTCTGCAAGTCACTGCTGCACAATGCTGGCACCTAATAAGTATCCAATAAATATTGTTGATTAAACTTTTCTGGGCCATCAAGAAGTTTAGGAGTCAAAGTTTGGCAAGCAGTGAAGGAAAGTTTGGCTCAAAAGCTCTGGGTGGGAGCTGACCACTAATATTCTTGAGCTCAGGTCTGAGCTCTATCTGCAGGGGATCAACCCTGGTGTGATTCTTGTGCTGTGTGGCTTCATTCCTAGCCATGGCCAACAGGTGGCAGTGCTGCCTGTGCCATAAGACAGCTCAAGGATCCCACAGCAGGGCGGGCTTCAGTGGAATGCCCTCACTTCTGGGTTAATGTGCCCTATTAGGAGCATATGGCCCCCAGGGTGGGGGTAGCCAGCCATCAAGGACCTGCTGAGTCCAAGGCATGGAAATGAAAAAGAAGTGACATAAAAGGAGTCAGCCTGACCAGAACTAAGCTTAATTTAAGAGCTGTCTCTTCATCTCCACTGCCCTTACCCACCTCTCTTCCAAACTTGCTTCTTTCCCAGACCCTTAGCCATCACTGGGGCTGCTCCACCTCACAATGAATGCTATATACTTTCCCTGTAATATCAGGTCTTAAGATATGTGACCAGGGTATTTGGTGCTACCAAGCTGGGCATGGGGGCATGGGGGCTGTGAAGGGCCTTTGCTGGGCTCCAACCAAGGATGGCTTGTCTTCTGTGCTTCTTCTGGATGCAAACAAAAGGAGGAACTGCCAAGTAGACCCGATATAGTACTCCTTGTTAGAATCCCAGAAGAGGTGAATATCTTAAAGTAGGGGATTTGGCAAGATGGGAAGTGGGCCTGGCTGTGAGAATATGTCAAGGGAATTTGAAGTCAATGAAAGGACTTAAATTTTAGCAATCTGTTTTTCTCAGACATCTTTCTAGCTGGGCAGGGTGGTACAGACCTGTAATCCCAGCTACTTGGGAGGTGGAGGCAGGAGGATCATGCATTTGAGGCCAGGCTGGGCAAAGTTAGCAAGACACTGTCTCAAGAACCAAAAAAAATAAAAAGGGCTGGGAGTGTTTAAGTGGTAGAGCACTTGTCTAGCACGTATAAGACCCTGGGTTCTATCCCCACAACTCAAAACCAAATCAAAAACTTTCTGCTGTGTGTGGGCAAAAACTCATTTGCAGCTTTGAGTCCCTGCTTGGAAGGCATCTGGCAGTAGGAGCTATGGAGATGACTAACAAAGTACTCCATCTCCAGTGCAAGCAGCCTAGCTGCAGTTCTTGGACTTGCTATCCATTTTGGATATCCAAAATGGATAGCAGGGGTTTGCTTTCACTTGAGAAGCTAGGCAGTAACTACACCAGGCTGTTTGCTGGCACTAGAAGCCTGTGAGGCTGAGTTGGTGATCCCATTATGGTCATTCCTGGCACCTTTCAGGGGACTAGAAAGGGTTCGACTTGGGGCATGTTTTCACCAAAACCGATAGTTGCTCCTGCCCTAGGTTGGGGGATAGAGCTTGCATCCCCTCTACCCCAAGCTCTGACCTCTTCTGTGATTAATGAGCTGACGATTCTGCATCGATAAGGAATTAACCTAGAGCCCCTACCCATCAATAGTCAGGAGCCCAGATTCCCAGCCCCAAACCCACTGGAATGCTCCAGGGTCAGAGTGGGCCAACCCTGCAGCTAAGTTGCTTTCCTCCATATTGCTGCTCAGAATTTACCACTTAACTGCCTCAGTTTACTCCCCTTGCCATCAGCCCCCATCCTCCCCAATATACACACAGGCAACAGCTGTTTATATTGGTTTAATCCATGTCAAATGTAGTTTACAAAGGGAAAGGACAAGTACCTTTGTATAGAATATACAGACACAGCATCACAGCATGGGGCCCACAGGAAGGGCAGAGACACAACACTTTCCCCTGGGAGCAGCAGCTCTACTCCCAGGAGTGGTTCTCAGCAGAAGAATGGGCAGCCAGGATCACCCTCAGCCAGCCCCAACCTTAGCTTAGGCTTCAGCTTGGGTTCCATTTCCTGCCCCATCCCCAACTCCTTATAAAGAGCCCCATGAGCTAAGACTAAGAAGAGGATCATGTCCCTTGGGGCATGTGCCCCATGTCTGGGAGAAGAAATATACACCACTGAACACTGAGCACATGGGAAAGGGAAGGGACGCCATGGGAGAGGCAGAGGCAAGCACCCCAAGACATGGATGGGCCGAGCCCCCAGCCAGCCCTGAAGGGGGTACTGCTTCCAGGGGTTCTTTAAAAAAGAAGGAAATCATACAACCAAAGGGAAGGAGTGATGGGTGAAGGAGCTGTTCCATTTATACACAACATTGTAAACATACACAGTCTATATTACATGTGCTTCAGTCTGGTGTTTGCATGTCTGTCTGTCCATCTGTCAGTATGGGGGTGGGATATCAGGAGCCTTGCCCCACTACTCCCTACCCCTACCTCCCTGCCCCACCCTGGAAAGAGACCAGAATGGGTATGGTCCCTAAACTTGGTGGGAGCCAGTAGGTAGGGTTGCTCCCCTCTGGCTCCAGAGTCCTGTATATGTGTTTGTGTGTGTGTGTGTGTGTGTGTGTGTGTGTGTGTGTTGTGTGCACATATGTACATGGGGAACCTGTGTGCAAATATGTACAAGAGGAGAGGGTCACTGTCACAGAGGCTGGGGCAGGTGGGGTTGCTCAAGGCAAAGCCTGCCTGGATGGCTAGCTCACAAGTAGATCCTCCGCAGGTCTCCTGGTGCTGTGATAGTATTACACTGAGGACAGAGCTTCTTGGCACCCTGCAGGAAGAAAAAGGGCCTTAGTTAGACACAACATGCCACATGTTTGTGCCTGTGAGCACCCAGGCCTGCAGCCATGTCTCTGCACCATATATATGCTGGGACCTTAGTCCTGTCAGCCAGGCTGGGGATGCATGGGCAGCCTCTGAGCAGGCAGGCAAGCTCCTGTGTTGGGGGGACGCCAGGATCAAACCGCCTGGCCAGCCCCGCAGCGGGAGCCCCGGTAATGAGAACAAGGCTGGGTCCAGCTGTGGCTGCCGCAGCCCTAACGAGATTACACGCGGCCTTTGATCAGGACACAGAGCCCACGTCCGGGCCTTTTATTGCTGTCTCCGGGCGACATTTTAATGGCTGCTCCCAAGCGAAGAACAGGGGCAGGAGCAGAAGGAGCTTAGTAATGGGAGGGGGGAGGGGCAGAGGCACTGGTTCTGCTTACCCACTACCAGCCTCCTCCTGACTTGGGGTCTCACCAATATATGTGATGCAGTGGACCTTCTGGGGGTAGTGGCAGGGGTAAGGGGGAATGCAGTGACCCACAGAGAGGAGAATTTAATAAACCTGTGTTGGTGGCAGCAGGGAGAATGTATTGAACTTGGGGCATAAATATGCTGGCAGTGACTATGTTCTGTGCTCCACTCTTTCTTGCTTCCCCCAAGCAGACACAAGCACAGACATGGACATCTGGGCAATGCCCAAAACAGCCAGCCACCCACTCCCCAGTCTCCATGCCACCTTACCAGGGTTCGCAGCCAGCACTCCTCGCAGTGCACGTGCCAACACTGGATTGACGTTAGGGGCATTGAGTATGAATCCTAGGGAAGAAGTGGGCAGAGGAGTCACTGAGGCAGGCCCACCCTCAGAGAGCCCAGAAACAGGGCAGACCCTCTCCAACCCTCCAGGGGGCACTAAAGCCTGACCAAGAGCACCCCTTGTTTTCCTCCTACTCACCATACAGATGAGGCATTTGTACCGGTCTCCCCGAGATAGCTGCCGTTCAAGCTCCCTGACCCGAGCCTTCAGGGCCTCAAATGTGGTTACAGCCGAATCTTCAGTGATTCTATAAGAGGCAGTG